TGGGGCCCGCTTGGGCCGTTATGGGGCCATCGCTCATTTTGTGCAAGATTTGTTTCCATCCCAGGGAATACACTGTTTTCCCCCCCCCCGCATACATTGACAAATCACACACGCGCGCATCGTTGCTCGCGCATGTCGACATCCGTACAACACCTTGGGTTATCTAGTTGGTCCACGGTCGAAATCCCCGAAAACCTTACAAACAACATGTGATTTGTTTCAACATGGCATGCGTGTATTTTTGCGTATTCCTGGGGATCAAACTGTAAAGTGTTCGATATGCACAGAAGAAACCACGCGGGTCTCCGCCGCGCGCGCGCGTCGAAATCATAAGGCCGCCGTTGCGCGTTCGCTGTGTGTGTGGGGGGGGACACGACCTTTTTCAAATTCGCCGGCCCAACGGGCCAGAGGCGTGCTAAGATCTCCGGTAATTACTTAACAATATTTCTAGTTCGCGCGCGCGGGGCGGCCCCTGGGGAGCCCCGGACGAAAAGTACCCCGGCCGATCCCCGGCTGTTCCCCGGGCGATCCCCAGGGGGTAGGCTATTTTTTGCCACCCCTCACGAGGATAGTGGCCTCCGAGGGGGGGGCGGGGCCAACGACTACCCCCTTCCCGCCCCAAGGGGCCCCCAAGAGCCCCCCAAGAGGCCCCAGGGGAGCCCAATACGCCGCCAAGGAACCCCAAGACGCTCCCAAGAAGCCCCCAAGAAGCCCCCAAGACGGCCCCAAGAGGCCCCAAATAGCGCTCCAGGGCCGGCGGAATGAGCGACGCGATTCAATAACACCATGCCGGCCAATCGCGCGCGCGTCGGCCGCGGCGCATGTCGAAATTATTCCAAAATGTTCATCGCCAGCGCGTGGACATCACCATCATCACCATTATCATCAGCATCGTCATTATCATCAACATCATCACCATCGTCATCATCATCCTCATCAACATCATCATCATCATCATCATCATCATCATCATCATCATCATCATCGGCGTGATCAACATCGGCGCCGTCCCGTCGCCGCCTCGTCGCCGCTGGTCGTCTGGGCCTGTCTGCCGCTCTGTCGGCTATGTGGCCGCCGTCGCCCGCACCATATCGGTTCTCCTTTTATCAAAAGAGAATAGTTCCCCCCCCCCGGAATTATCGCTCCCTCTTGTCGCATTGCAATTTACATCTGATTCTGTACCATCGTTCATCTTCAATATGAGCTCATATCATCCCAGCCAGGCTGGTATCGACCCCCCTGCCATCCTTTGCAAAAACTTTGCAAAAAATGCGATGAGCGAGCATTTCTTTATCAACATTCATCTGTTTTCAATCATCTTTTGCGAAGTGCACACGCGCGCGCTGTCGCGCGCGCATGCCGATATCCTTCAAACATTTTCGCTCCGTAATGATTTCAAAGCCAAGAGTCACGAAAACGTGTACACACATGGTTTCGCCAAGGGTCTTCAAAAAAAGCCTGCGCCCGTACTCTTGCGAATTCTTACGAAAACCATAGGTTTCTCAAGATGTTCTTAAAATGTTACCAAACGGGCCTCTCGCTCGCGCACGTCGGTATCGTTCGGACGCCCTTGCGCGCGCGCTGTCGCAAGACTCCCTTGCAAAAATTGTGACGAAGTGCGCACACGCGACCTACTACGGATCCTTGGCCAGAGCGTTCCAGAGTGTTCTCAGAAATTTCCGGGACGCTCTGAAGAGGCCGCGGCGCCCGAGACGTCTTCCAGAGCCGCCAGATCCCAGAGATTCTCGATGTATCCTCACCCGAGTTTACCCTCACCCGTGCTTCGTCTTGCGTAGGGTCCACAGGTCGTGAAGGGCTCCAACGACTGCTGCCGTCCCCCGACTCGCGCTGGAGCGGCCCGCGAGCTGCTCCAGCTGTCCCTGGACAGTCCCTGATTTGCCTCGATGTGTTTGGCTCTTCCCCCGTCGACGGCAACACCACACCACTCACCCTCCGGGACTTCGCCTCCGGCTCCTGTCCAAGGCGTTCCTTTTCTTGTGCAAGCTCCTCAGCACCGCCTGCACCCCCCGGCCCGCCCTCTGGCCGCCTGAGGCCCCGCCCGCCTGTGCTCTGTCTCCCCAATTAGTGCTTTGCGCGGCCCGCCTAGCTCTTAACCGGAAGAGGCTCGCTCTCGACCCGCAGACCAAAAAAGTGTTTGGCTCTTCCCTGATTCGCCCGGACTTGCCTCGATCTGCTTGGCTTGATCCCCGCAAGCCGATTGGCGAATAGTCGTGAAGTCCTCAGGGACACAGATTCTAGAGGGACGGTTCTCCCGAGGGGAGGATCAGGGACGCAACCCGCCCAGATGCTCACATTTTCTCACGTCGGGGGCCGTTCAGGTCAGGGAGAGACGCGTCGATCCCCAATCGCCCATTGGTCGCGGATAGGGGCCTGATAGCTTCGCCCCGCCCAGGCGCGTGGGGATTGGCCGTTTGGGGCCTGCCGCCGATATATCGGCGATGTATCGCCGATCCAGGTCGACGTTTCCCCCCCTACTGCCAGCCCGCATAATAAGGATGGGCAGCCTAGGGTGCCCTTGCATCCTTGCCTCCTCGGCCCATCCTGGGGCACTCTCGCTGGCCGCGCCCCGCTCGAAAGGCTTCGAGATGGGCGTCCAAGGCCCTTGCATCCTTAGCGCGCACCCTTATGATACGGGTTGACTGTGTCGCGGATCTATCGGCGATGCATCGCCGATTCCAGGTCGACGTTTCCCCCCCTATGCCAGTCCCCCTCTATCGTTGCCCCTCGTCAGGGCGATGTTCCTCTGAGCCCACTTTGTTCCCGCGCGGCCCCCCAGCACTGGCCCGTTTTGTGAGCCGCGTCCGGCCGTGGCCTCGAGGGGCCCCCGTGAGGCCCACGAGGGGTGCGCACACACGTGACAGTACTTCCCTGTGCGCGCCGCCAGCTTCCTCTTCCTCCTCCTCCTCCTCCTCCTCCTTCTCCTCCTCCTCCCCCTCCTCCTCTCCTCCTCCTCCTCCTCCTCCTCCTCTTCCTCCTCCTCCTCCCCCTCCTCCTCCTCCTCTTCCTCCTCCTCCTCCTCCCTCGTTTTCCTCGTCATCCTCCTCGTTTTCTTCCTCCTCGTTTTCCTCCTCTTCCTCCTCTTCCTCCTCATCATGTCCCTTTTTTCGAATGTTTCCTCCTCATCCTCCTCCTCCTCCTCGTTGTCCTCCTCCTCCTCGTTGTCCTCCTCCTCCTCGTTGTCTTCCTCCTCCTCGTTTCCTCATCCTCATCGTTTTCCTCATCATCGCTTTCCCTCCTCCTCCTCCTCCTCCTCCTCTTCCTCCTCTTCCTCCTCCGCCTCATCCTCCACTTCATCCTCATCTTTCCTTCTTTTCACTGTTTCCGCCGCCTCCTCCTCGTTGCCCTCCTCCTCCTCCTCGTTTTCCTTCTCCCATTTCTCTTCCTCCTCATCCTCGTTGTCATCCTGATCCTCCTCAGTTTCCTCTTCCTCCTCCTCCTCCTCCTCCTCCTCCTCTCTTCCTCCTTATCTGTTTTGTTTAACTGATTATTCCTCCTCGTTTTCCTTCTTCTCCTCCTTGTTGTCCTCCTCCTCCTCTTCTCCTCCTCATCCTCCTCCTCGTCCTCGTCCTCCTCCTCCTCTTCCTCAGCTTGTCTCCTTTTTCAACTAGTTTCTTCTCCTCCTCCTCTTCCTCGTCGTCCTCCTCCTCTTACTCCTCCTGTCCCTCCTCCTCGTTTTCCTCCTCGTTGTCCTTCTCTTCCTCGTTTTCCTCCTCATCCTTTTATCCTGCTTCTATTGTTTCCTCCACCTCCTCCTCGTTTTTCTCCTCCTCCTCCTCTCCTCTCCTCCTCCTCCTCCTCCTCCTCCTCCTCCTCCTCCTCCTCGTCCTCGTCTACATCCTCCTCATCCTCCTCTTCCGCCTCATATGCTTTCTTGCTTCAAGTGTGTACTCCTCGTTTTCCTCCCCCTCATCCTCCTCCTCCTGCTCTCCTCCTCATCGTCCTCGTTTTCCTCCTCATTTTCCTCCTCCGCATCCTCCTCTTCCTCCTCATCTTTTCTCTATTGTTTTCAACTGTTTCCTCCCCGTCGTCCTCCCTCTCCTCCGTCTCCTCGTTTTCCTCCTCCTTCTCCTCCTCGTTTTCCTCCTCCTCGTGTTCCTCCTCCTCCGTCTCCTCCTCCTCCTCGTTGCCGTCCTCCTCCTCCTCCTCCTCCTCTTTCTCGTAATAGGTTATTATCATTATTATTATGTCAACTGGTGTATCCTCCTTCTCCTCTTTCTTTGTCCTCCTCTTCCTCCTCGTTTTCCTTCTCCTCCTCCTCCTCCTCCTCCTCCTCCTCCTCATCGTTTTTCTCCTTATATCTCTCCTCATCTGTTCTCTTTGTCAACTGTTTCCTCCTCCTCCTCCTCCTCCTCGTCCTCCTCGTCATCCCTTTCCGTTTCCTCCTCCTTTTCCTCCTCATGTTCCTCCTCTTCTCCTCACCTTTCCTATTTGTTTCAACTGTTTCTTTCTCCTCCTCGTCCTCCTCCTCCTTCTCCTCCTCCTCCTCCTCGTTTTCCTCCTCCTTTTCTTATTTCTCATGTTTTCTCTCTTTGTTTCAACTGGCTCCTCATCTTCCTCCTCCTCGTCTTCCTCCTCCTTCTCCTAGTCCTCGTCTTTTCTCGTTTTTCAACTGTTTCCTCCTCGTCGGCCTCCTCGCTGTCCTCCTCCTTTTTCTCATTTTCCTCGTTTTCCTTTCCCTCCTCCTCCTCCTCGTTTTCCTCCTTCTCCTCTTCCTCATCTGTTCTCTTTTTCAACTGTTTCCTCCTCCCCCTCGTCTTCCTTCTCCTCCTCTTCCTCCTCCTTCTCCTCTTTCTCCTCGTTGTCCTCCTTCTCCGCCTGTTCTTTCTCGTCTGTCTCTCTCTCTCTCTCCTTCAACTGTTTCCTCCTCCTCCTCCTCTTCTTTCTCAAAGGTTCCTTCTTTTTGTGTCAACTGTTTCCTCATCTTTCTCCTCATCCTCCTCCTGTCTCTTTGCCCCTCCTCTCTGGCCTTCGGCTCGCAGGATGCTGGATGAGCTCCCGGCCCACTCCAGGGCGGCGTCCGCGCCGTCGGCGCCGAAGGCTCGGCGCGGGACCCTCGGGGTCGACGACGGCGGCGACGCCGACACCGACGGCGGCGGCGTCGGTGGAGGCGCTGGGGGCGGCGACGATGACGAGGGACATTCCCGGGAGCGGCCAGGAGGGGGATGCTGACCAGAGGGGGGGGGATATCATGGCGGGCCATGATACCTCCCCAGATTTCTTGACCCCCCTCTCCTTAGTTCAACACGTCCCGGCCCCCCCCTGGGCCGCGCACGTGCCGCTGGCCATGATTTGCGCACCCCCCTCTTGGACGCCCCCATCTTGGACGCCCCCGACATTCGGAGGCGACGAGATGGGGCAAAATGGCCCAGGGGCGGGCATTACGCGTATCCCTCCAGGAGTCTCGCCGAAGACGTGGACCATCGGCGCCCCTGGGTGCACGTGTGACTCTCCCCTGGTGTATTCGCCCCTACCGTCGCCCTCGAACGGGGAGGAGGGGGAGGATCAGGAGGAGCTGGGCCACCCCAAGGGGCGCGAAGTTCTGCAAATGTAGCCGAGGCCTCGCGCATCGCGGCCTGGGTTGGATTGGAGAGGCGCCTTTCTCCGGAGCGGCGGCGAGAGTGCGTGAAGATGCCCGCGCGTCGCGCACCGCGCGTCGCGATGCGCGGCGCTAGGTGACCTGGATGAAGAGGGGACGGGGCCAAAGGAGGCGGTGGCGACACCCCTGGCGGCTCCCCTTAGGGGTGCTGAAACCAGCGCCCTGCCTGAGACATCCTAAAAATCTGCGCTGAAAGCCAAGGACGTTGGGCATGAAAACGGGCAAACCGCCCGAGACATCCCCACAAACTGGCCGCGAACGGGCCCGTGCAAACACCCCTGGCGGCTCCCCTTAGGGGTGCTGAAACCTATTCCGCTTCCTGGGAGTTCGGTCCCGTGGCCGTCCGCGCGGGCGCGCTGACGCGGGGCGAGCCCCTGCCGCGAGGCGCAGCCGAGGCCCTACGGCATGGCGCAGCGGGCGACGGACGCGGAGGAGCCTCGGGCGGCGACGGCGGCGACGACGGCGGCGACGGCGGCGGCGACGGTGGCGACGGTGGCTACGGCGGCGAAGGCGACGGCGGCGACGGCGGCGACGGCGGCGACGGCGGCGGCGACGGCAGCGACGGCAGCGACGGCGACGACGACGACGACCTCCTCCTCCTCCTCCTCCTCCTCCTCATCCTCCTCCCCCTCCTCCTCCTCCTCGAGATGGTCCTCGGCCTTCTCGATCTCTCCTCGATGCCGCCTCGGCGGCCGGGGCCTCTCGACGGCGGTGGCGGCGGTCGGTGGTCTCTCGCGGAGGTGCTCGGGGGTGCCCTGGGTCGCCCGCGGGGGCGTGAGGATGACAGCCGACCAGCACAGGAAGGAGGTGCCGTTTCACCGAACAGCCTTGCCCTGTTCGATTCTTTCTATGGGTGCGTTTACTAAGCGGCTTCGCGTGTCGGGGTGATTTTTCTGCTCTCTACTTTCACGGTGCGACTGCCCAAGGTTGCCCCGGCAGCCGTCCCCTCCGGCCCGTTCTCGGCCGCTGTCGCCGGCCGCGCCCCGCCCGCACAGCGTCGCCGTGGCCTTTCCCGAGGCCCCTGCTCAGAGGGGAGGGAAGAGCGCCTGGGCCCGAGAAGCGGTGTCTGCTGCACGGCCCTGGGCGTTTCACCGAACAGCCTTGCCCTGTTCGCTTCTGTCTGTGGGCAGGCCAGCCACAACTGGGGGAGCTGTGGTCCTTACCCCCCTGGGGGGCCCCTCGATTTCGACACCCCTCTCGAGAGATCGTCGACGCGATGGGTTCCCCCAGGGCAGCTCCCCCAGTTATGGCTGGTCGGATGGGTGCGTTTACAAAACGTCCTCGCGTGTCGGGGTGATTTTTATGAGGGTGGATCTTGTGCTCTCTACTCTGCACCCTTATCGTGCGCCCTTCTCATACGAGTTGACTGCAGTCGCGCTTCGCGGGTCGCAGCCTGGATATCAGAGCGGTTGCCCCTCTCCATACGGGGGCGGATCGAGAGGGCGCGAGGACGCGAAGAGATGACCGCACATCCGCGGGGCGCGGTGCGCGACGTCGGGCGACCTGGGCTCCTGGAGGCTTCCAGGGATTCTCGGAGATTCTCGGGGGGGCCCCGGGTTCACAGAAGACGGGAGGATCGAAGACGAAAAAAGCTACAAACAGAAACTTTTGGCGCTCCGCGCGGATCTCTTGGATCGGCGCATGGGCCCCCCAGCGGCGCCTCCGGCGCCGCCGCCGCCGCGCTCCGCGCGCCAGGGAGGGCGGTCCGGCGCAGATTAAGTGGGGCTCAAGCAGGACTCAAGGACTGGCCTGGCCACCGCATCAGGATGCCAGTTTCAAACGGCACCGCCCGATCCTGAGGCTCGGAGCGCGGCTCAGACTCTGCTTGGTGCCCGACCGACTGTCCAGGTCCGTAGTCAATTTTGCGACCCGGGCACCATGCACGCCATCAATCCGTCACGCCAACCAGTGGGGCACTCGAATTTACAGAACATGATGGCCATTTCTACCATCACCTGGGGTCCATGATAGCTCGATGCGTGATGCGTGATGTTCGGTAACTTCAGGCACAGGTCACCACGCGACGTCTGATTGGAAGCATCAACTATTGAACCACAGGCAAGCCTCTGAGGACGGAGACGTTCTGGAGAGACTTGTTATCAAATGACCTGTATGAGAGGTTCGATTGTTCAAAGACAGTGTAATTAAAACAATTGTGTTCCGAAGGGGCACGTGTGTATCTTCTTCGAACACGGCTCTGAATCGTCAGTTCAGAGAAAAACAAGTTGGGCAAGACATCCGTAAAGCCTACAACATCATGTACATGAATGATTTCCGAACGCGTGAGACGACATGGATTTGATTACATGCCGAGTAACAGTAGATGTATCTCATTCAGCATTGCAGAATCTGGTTTCACGATGCACGTCCAAGATAGGGCCTACTCGCTATTATCAGGACATGTCAGGTTTCATTTTCAGCGACGCATTGAAGTCATCAAGTGCCCGTATGGCCTTGCTGATGATACTGTCGGGAAAAATGCGCCCAGTCTTGATTCATTATTGGCCACACTTGTGAGTCATGGTCTGTCCTAGGCTCTCACGCATGATAGCCGGACGAGGCTCGCAAGTTTCAAGAAGAGAAGCTCAGGGATCATTCTTACATGTCCGTTTGATGTCGAGACGTCACTCTGTCAGCGGCTTGGCCAGGTTGAACATTTCTGCATTCGGTGAAAAAGGCAGCTCTCAGTCGTAAACGGATCATGCGGAAAGCGCTGCGCACTGATCGAGGAGGAGGTCTGCGATATGACCCTGGTGCGCGTCAGTGCAGGGATTTCTTGTTTCAGCGCACTATCGGGTGGTCTCACAAGTTCGATGAGGTCGCTGTGCCGAGGCTATGCGGCCAGGCAGATAGGCTCATGAAGAGCCGCACATGCTTTTTTTCGGAGGCATTCCGCATCTGCTTGCCCATTCCGTGCGAAAAAGTTAGTTCGCATCGTACAGCGCACCGCGAATTTTGAAGTAGCCGATTGGTCGGCGACAATTGGTCGATTATTCAACGCATGAGAATTTTGCACCGCCAGCACTATGGTGTCACGGCGCGATCAATATCTGTACATAGAGATTGATGGGTCCGCCTTCATCGCGGACTACTGTGTCAAGCTTTTGGGCGTTGGGCAGCAAGACGTTGTTCTGGCGGTGCTGGATGAACCGATCTTCTCACGGTGGCTGATTCTAGAATTCCTGCTTACGCGTCATGTGTAACCCCGCTGCTGATCTTCTGGATTTGTATGTTTCGACGTTTTGAGTCGCTGGCAAGCTACAGTTACGTATCCGCGCGGATTCAAGGGCCAACGGTGCCGCATCGGACGACGGTGCCGCGATCTTCGGTTCAAGTTCCAATGTTGGTGACCGCGACGATCGCCCGTCGAGATCAACAGTTTCCAGCGCACCCGAGTTGAGGGCGTCGTTTTTCCATGCTTGTGGGTCGAGGTTGCAAGGTTGCAGCGAAGTCACCCTAAGATTGACCTGAATAGACGCTCTCGGGGGCCCGGCGCTGCCAACGCTTGGATATCCCCAGTCGTGTGATCACAAATTCCAAAGGTGCCGCTCACACATCCTTACTTCGCATTCGTCTTTGGGCGCGCCGTGCATGCTGAAGTCACCACCCACCAAACCACCCCAACCCAACCCGAAGGCTTCAAGTTGCCCTCCGTTCCCACTGGGGGGAGGTCGGGGCACATCGAAAACACATGGAACCCATACCCCCCCGAACCCGAAATCCGGGTCAAAGTTCGGGTCTTCGGGTTGGGTTGGGGTGGTCTGGCAGGTCGTCATGACGGGCTTCGTCCTCTGCCGCCGCCCGCCCCCCTCTGATTGCCGGCGTCCTTGCTTTTGGGTTCAGTCGTGCGCGCGTTGATTGTTTCAGCGCTTTCAAGCAGTGGCGAAGCGTCCTGGCTCGCCTATAGCCCTACCAAACAATGTTCAAAAAACCTTTTGTGGTTTCCACGAAATGTTCTTAGAACATTTCTGGCCGAGCCTGTCTTGTTTTAACACATCGGGTTAATGTTTTAAAACATGGTTTTTGTTTTTGAACGTTTTTGGGTTCTAAGAACATTTCGTGGTAGGACTATAGGAATGCCGGGACGGTCGGTCCCTGCTCAAGCGCTTGGTCGCGTATCCGCTGCTGGCTCATGGCTGGGCTGTGGACGGGGGGGAGAAAGGCAAGTGAGGAGTGCGGGGGGGGGAGAGAGGAAACGCACAATGGGAGGAAAGGATGAGGGTGATGAACATGAGGGCGAACTCCATGGCGGAACATGTCGTCGTGAAAGGTATCGCTGTCTCTGGGTGCTGCTGTGTACTCTTTGACTTGTTCAGGCCGTGGCTGTGCACGTCATGGTCTGCCTTCTCGCTCGCCGCGACGTGAAGCGGAGCGATCTATGCTCTATGCTGTTTTCGAGAACGCGCATCTGCAGCAATGTGCACAGGATGGTGGCCTCGGAAGCGCGGGTCTCTGGAGTGACATACCAGGAATGGTGGCCCCGGGAGAGCCGACCCGAATCCTAATGTACAAAGGGGTTCTTGCCTCGGGGGCGCAACCCCGTCGTAATGTGCATGGAGGTCTGGCACCGGGAGCGCGCAGCCGTTGTAAGTTAGGAGGGGTCGTGTCGTCGGGAGCGCACGCCCGTCGTCATGTTCAGTGGTTTCTGGTCTTGGGAACGCGCACCTGTTACAATCTCAACGGGATTACGTCCTCGGGGTCGGGCATTTGCTATAATTTGCCAAGGAATGCGGCCTTGAGCGCGTACTCCTCCGAGGGCTGATCTTTCATCGTCTGCCATCGCTGCCATGACTGTCCCCATTCGTCTTCCGTATCCTTGTCTTTTCGTGTAGGTATGTTTGGTAGTCAGCTGTCATTCGCATTCAGATGTCTTTCGGCTGTGTGTTCTCCTGAGAAAGAGGATGGAGACAGGGGAGGAGGAGGAGGAGGAGGAGGAGGAGGAAGAGGCGGAGGAGGAGGAGGAAGAGGAGGAGGAGAAGGAGGAGGAAAAGGAGGGAAGAGGGGGATCGGATCAGACACTTCGGCGGACCAGGCTGGAGCCTTCCATCACCAGAGGTTGAGGGTGGCTGCCCTGGACCGCATGTGCGGTCCAGGATCCCAGCCGTCTCCAACCTCCAGGCCACAAGACCGCCTCCGAAAGACGGCCGTCCCGTTGGCTCCGAGGCTCCGCGGCCCGTTCGCCCGCACGGCTCCGTGCGGCGCAGGAGGAGAAGCGGAGGGCGAGGGAGGGACGCCGCGTGCTCCCAGTACCAGCCTCGAACGTATCCTTATCCCTAAGATTGACACGCCAAAAGGCGATGACAATCTTAGGGATTCGCCCTCAAAAAATAAGGTAATTCCTAAGATTGGCATCGTGATGAGGAGGTGCCCAGCATAGGGATAGGGATATGTTCCAGGCTGGTAATCCCACCGCGTCCTGGACACTCTGTGCGATGCGCGAGGCCGCCTCAGAGCAGACGGGGTCTGGACTCTGGCACCCGTCCACCCCGACCGGTCCAGCTCGCTGCATTCCGTCGCGGGGGCGGGACGGCATCGTCTTGGCATCGCTCGGACGTGTGCATTTTTTCCTTCGGCGAGGACCATCGAGGAGCATCCTTGATCATTTGGCGAAAAAACCACGCATGAAACCGAAAAAAGCACAGGGAAAGGACGTCCGGGTGGTGGTTGGCGGCGTCACAGACCCGCTTCGCGAGGTCGTTGTGCGCCGCCTTGAATTCCACCCTCTCCTGCTGGATCTCCGCGGCGAAGCCCTTGAACTGCCCCTGCATCTTCACCTGGAACTCGTCGATCATCTGGAAGTGCAGGCTCACCTGCGGAGGTTCCGCGTCGTGGCCCCTCGATTCCGTAGTCTTCGTGGCCTGCATTTCGTTAGCCTCCTCTTTGCCTTCAGCGTCCTTCCTGTTCACTGGCATGCTTGCCCTTGTTGCACCGGAGGTACTCGTTCGAAGGTCTCTCAAACATCCACGAAGGCCTTAAGGAAGCCCACGTCTGAATGACCAGCCGTGTTGCGGAGCTGGTTTGCCTTTCCAAATCTGGTGGCCACCACATCATATCATTGGCGCCCATTCTTTCAAGGTGGATTTCTCCACGGCAATATTGAGTTTTATCTGGAGGTCAGCGCCATCGTTGAGCATGCATGATCTCCGTGTGTACGAGGGCCGACGCGCCCCGCATCGGGAGGACGGCAGCCTCCCTTCCTTCGCCGCCTCGATGTCCGGACGTTGCACCTTGCACTGGTCCTCGCGCCGTTGCTGCGAGGGCCACGTGCAGCGTTTTGCCTTGCACGCCCAGATGCTGGCTGCCGATCGCCGCACCGAGCAGTGCTTGCGTCTCTGGCGGTAGGCTGCCTTGCAGGGGGGACGGCGCGGCGGGGTGCGGGGGGAATCATAGCTGCCGCCTGACTCGTCGGCCCAATGTCTTGAGCCAGAACATCTTTGGGAAATGAGGAGGAGGAGGAGGAGGAGGAGGAGGAGGAAAAGGAGGAGGATAAACCCAAGACTCACCAACCATGTTTTCTGGATACGCCCCCCCTCCGAGCTTCCTCTTTATAGGCCCCATACAGGGGTTCATTTCTACGAAGGGAATTGCCCTGTTGGGGGACAGCCGTGTGAAGATCCTGAAGCGTGCCAAAACACCATGTGGTTGTCAGGTCTTGGCGGTCCTGACCTGCCAGAACACCATGCACTGGACTGCAACATCGCAAGTCAGCTTCAGTGCTGCGCCCTGACAGTCCTGCGTCGCTGCAAATCATCGTTTCTGGTACGCCAACCATGAGAATCAGTGAAACTTGGGCAACTGTCGCGAAAGCCACAGCTTGAAAACCCCCGACCCTTAATCCGTGAAGCTCGTGCAAAGTTTTGAAACGAATGTGCGCAGCGCCAAGGCGAGATCCACATGTTGAAAACCACCCGCCCTCAGTTCGTGAGGCTTCTGCAATATTTTAGAACGAGTTGCGTGGCGCTAAAGCGAGAGCCACATTTTGAAAACGACATGCCCTCAATCCTTCAAGTTCTTTCAAATTACGGATGCGCGCGGCGCTGATGCGAGAGCCACATGTTGAAAACCACACGCCCTCAGTCCGCGAAGGCACTGCAAAGTTTTAAAACGAATATCAGCAGCGCTAAGGCGAGAACCACATTTGGGAAGCCACCCTCCCTCAATACGTGAAGCTCTTGCAAATGTTTTAAGCGAATGTGCGTGGCGCTAAGGCGAGAGCCACATTTTGAAAACCTCCCGCCCTCCATCTGCGAAGCTGTTGCCAACTCTTACGTTCCAGGATCAGATATGGTAAGAAAGTCTCAGGCGAAACGCCCGGCCCGCCCTTTCGACCGGCCTCGGGGTGAGATAGGGAGGAGTTATCTATAAGAACAAATAATATAAGAGGAGGAGGAGGAGGAGGAGGAGGAGGAGGAGGAGGAGGAACATGGGGAGGAGGAGGGGCAGAAGGATGAGGAGGAGGAAGGAGGAGGAATGAGGAGGAGGAGGAGGGGGAGGAGGAGAAAGTCGGAGGGGGAAGTGGGCGAGGACAGGTAACGCGAAGGAGTGAGGGACCGGAGAAGGGGCGCGGGCGCGGAGCAGGACGAGATGGAGCAGGCTATGCTGGCGTCGATGATGGAGAAGGCACGATGCCCGCTTCTGCTTCGGCCTTTCATCTTCCCCCTGTCTCTCTTCCTCCTCCTCCTCCTCCTCCTCCTGCTCCTCCTCATCCCCCTCCTCCTCCTCCTCCTCCTCCCCCTCGTGCCTCCTCCTCCTCCTCCTTCTCCCCTGTCTCTCTTCCTTCTCCTCCAGATTTCCCGATTCCCTGACGGCACTGTGTTCTCCGAACGTTGCCGCTTCCCAAGGCTGGCCAGAGGCCAGCCCTCGGGGAGTATGACAAAATAGCATAACGACAAGTGAAAATAGACAGACAGGGAGGAGGAGGGAGGGAGGAAGGAAGGGGAGCACATCATACCGATCATCACCTCATGAGGAAGGGGATCCGAGTGGGGTGTTGGCGGTTAAAGTGTGTGTGGTGCAGCAGGAAGCCTGTTGCGTGGCGGTGTGCAAAAAGCAGGTGGGCCCCTTAGGGTCCAGGTCTCCTTGTGGTTGTGCCGGGTCCTCTCTCTCCTTCGGGTCAACTGGCCACCTCGGGCCAGCGGGGTTGCGGTTGAGGTTGGCAAGTTACCAGCTTGTCTTGGCCCCCGCCAGGACAGCCATGCAGGCGGAGCGTCGGCGGCAGCAGTCTAAACAGTGGGGCGGAGCAGGAGTGGTGGTGAGGGCCTTCAGCTGGCAGCCGTTCTGCCCAAGAAAGGAGGAGCAGTGTGGCGAGTGGCAGGAGGAACAGTGTGCCGCGTGTTGCGAATCGTGCCTTGCCCGAGCTACGCTCGCCGCGTTGGAATGACCCAGGGGCCTCTCCCTCTGCTCATAGGAATCCCCAAGGGCGTCCCCGAGGCCACAGGCGAGATCCCTCGCCTGCAAGCAGGCGCAGGGTTCCGAGCACTTCGGCCTCGGGGCCGCTCATGGGGTTTCCCCGGAGCGTGAGGGAGGTTTGCGCCATCCGGGCGGTGGCGGGCGCCACAGGCCCTGAACGGTGGCCGTCCACACTCGCCGAGTGGGAAGGCAGAAGCGCCTCTCCCGATGCACATGGGAAGTCCCCCGAAATGACCCTCATCCCCGCGAGAGGCACCCTCCCCTTCAAGCAGGAGTACAGTCAACCCGCATAGCAAGGACGGGCAGTTTTCCCAACGGTGCCCTTGCATCCTTGCCTCCTCGGTCAATCCTTGGCCACTTTTGTTGGCTGGGCCCCGCTCGAAAAGCCTCGAAACGGTCTTCCAAGGCCCTTGCATCCTCATCGTGCGTCCTTATGATGCGGGTTGACTGTAGGGTACCCAGACCGTGGAGGTGGGGGCTGTTCGGGGGGATCTCCACCGTGCCTGGGGGATGCTTATGCCATCCGCGGCGGCGGCACGGTGGCAGTTGGTGCTCCTCCTCCTCCTCCTCCTCCTCCTCCTCCTCCTCCTCCTCCTCCTCCTCCCATACGCGTAAGCCCGTCCCCCGTCCCGCATCGGTCAGTGTGGGCGGGCGACCGAAGGCCGCGACTGCGCGTCAGAGCCGGAGGTGGGAGGCGAAAGTGCACGAGTGGGGGCAGTCATAAACATGGTGGTAGGGGGCTGATGATGATGGAGGAGGGGGAGGAGGAGGAGGAGGAGGAGGAGGAGGAGGAGGAGGAGGAGGAGGAGGAGGAGGAGGAGGAGGAGGAGGAGGAGGAGGAGGAGGAGGAGGAGGAGGGGGAGGGGAGGAGGGGGAGGGGAGGGGGGAGGGGGAGGGGAGGGGGAGGGGAGGGGGAGGGGAAGGGGAGGGGGAGGGGGAGGGGGAGGGGGAGGGGGAGGGGGAGGGGAAGGGGGAGGGGGAGGGAGGGGAGGAGGGGGAGGAGGGGGAGGAGGGGGAGGAGGAGGAGGAGGAGGAGGGAGGAGGAGGAGGAGGAGGAGGCGGAGGAGGAGGAGGAGAGGAGGAGGAGGAGGAGGAGGAGGAGGAGGAGGAGGAGGAGGAGGAGGAGGAGGGGGGGGAGGGGGGAGGGGGAGGGGAGGGGGAGGGGGAGGAGGAGGAGGAGGAGGAGGAGGAGGAGGAGGGAGGAGGAGGAGGAGGAGGAGGAGGAGGAGGAAGGAGGAGGAGGAGGAGGAGGAGGAGGAAGAGCAGGAGGAGGAGGAGGAAGAGCAGGAGGAGGAGGAGGAGGAGGTTCCTTGCTTCCAGCCCGGCTCCTGGCCTGCCGCCCAATTGCGAGCCCGCGCGCGTGCCCCCCAGCCGGAGTCCCAGCCTGGCACCGCGCTCAGCGTCGCGGACGTCCAGCAGGTGCGCCGCGACGATCCCTCCGCTTTACCTCCTAAGTGCTCCCTCCCCCCTTGCGGGCAGCCAGAATGGAGCCAGAGTGCGTGGGTTCGCGGCATACAGTCGGGGCCCTGAAGAAGGAACCCTTTTCGTTGGGGAGGGGCTCGGTGTTCCTTGATTGTTCTACAGCTCGCCTTCGTTTTTCCTGAGGTTTTCCATGGGAAATCGAATGACAACTTATGGGAGAAAGGGGCCTCGTTCCTTATTTGGGGTTCCTTAAGTCAACGCCCCCACCGTATCGCCGATGCATCGGCGATGCGGCTCGATTTGGAACCCGATTTCGTCGACGATGGATCGTCGATGCGGTGCGATCCTCTTGTCCCGTCTACTGCGGCTCCACTAGGGCGGCGTTCACTCCCCCACTCCCGTCGGAGGGCGCGGATTGCACACGCCGATCCTGGTCAGGGCGGCACCTGTGCCCAGAGTCGGTTTATTCGCCGGGCGTATGCGGGTTCAAAGCAGTAAAACATGCAGCGCGCCAGCAACCCTCGTGATTGTCAGCAGGGGGCGGCGGATAAACGACACCTACGGCGAATCACCGCCGCCCCTTGCTTTTTGGAAACGCCCTTTCGCCCAAACGTTGTGCCGAAGTCTGGCCCAGGTATTGGACTATGTGTTCCCGCAGCCGTTGTGGAACCCCTTGGGGGAACACTTGGGATCGCATTGGAATCTTACACACGTGTCCACGTTTAGCGCACGAGCGCATCGCCACATCTAGGTGGTCCATACTCGGGCCGAGCAATAAGTCATAATCACCCAGTTGACAACCTAGTTATTATCGAACATTCGGTTTCAACTGATCTCCAGCCGTTACGGAGGTTGTTCCTGGCCGGGTCGATAAGGAGGTCTCGACCCTTGAAACCTTCCTTGTCCACCGCACGGTGCAGAGTGCCTCTGGTCCCAGGAAGGTCGAACAGAGAGCCTCCAGAGGACCCCAAGACGGCCCAAGAGCTTACCACGAGCGCCCCGATGTGTCTCAAGAAGGCGCCAGAACGGCCCCAGGAGAGCCCACGAAAGCTTGAGCTGGCTCCGGGAGGCTGCAGGAGAGTCCAAGTGAGGGCCTCGCGAAGGCCATCACGGCCCCAGAACGGCCCCAAGGAGGACGTGCAGAGTTTGGAAAAGCCTCATGACATAATGCCGTGTTGCGCGCCGAGTAGAACACGTCCACCGCGTAGGCACCCGTTATTCGTTGATGATGCGCGCCGAATGAACACGCCCATTGCGTCGGCAATCGTTCTCTTGCCACCCGGAGTGCGTTCACTCTGCTGCGCCACAGGGTGGGCAGAACGGAGAGGAAATGGGAGGGCTTGCTGAGAGGAGAATACAGAGTCAAGGGCGATTGGGGTTCATCACAGGGCATCCATGGGGACTTGGAGGGGGGGCACCTTCAGCTCAGCGATCGAAGGCTGCGTATTCGCCATGATACAAAATGGGCATTCCGATGCTGCCAATCATAGACCAGATCTACAGCTCGCTAGAACCAAAGCGCGCAGCTCGCGCGTAACGCGAATGTTGCATTACTCGTTACATAGGGTTCCAAAGGATTTGGGCTGCGCGCCACTGGCGCGCCGGCAGAGGCAAGGCCACCAGCACGCCTACCTCTTTTCACCCTTTACCTGGGGACAGTCCGCTGCGTGCCTCGGGGCACGCTGGCAGATCCGTCTTCTGTTCCTCTCAAGCAGGATAACCAGGGTGGAGAGGAGCAGGGACAGGGGGAAAGGCAGGAATCATACAATTACAGTCGGGGTCTTGAAGAAGGAACGCTTTTCGTTGGGGGGGAGGGCTCGGTGTTCCTTGATTGTTTTACAGTTTGCCTCGGGTTTCCGTTGGGTTTTTGCATGGGAAATCGAAGTTCAATTTGATGAAAAGAGGGGCCTCGTTCCTTATTTAGGGTTCTTTAGGTCAACGCCCCGTTTGTATTTGTTTTAGAGGTCCGCGCGGATCTCTCGGATCTGCGCTGAGCTTCCCCCTCCCTGACGCGCAGAGCAAGCCAGAGGCGGCGCAGGAGGCACCGCCAGAGGCGTGGGGTCCAGCGCAGATCCAAGACATCCGCGCGGACCGTCGAACGCACTGTCGGGGCCTTGACCAAAGGAACCCAAAATAAGGAACGAGGCCCCTCCCCAACATCGATTCCCCCTCCCCCCCAGAATAAGGAACGAGGCCCTTTTTCCATAAGTTAAACTTCGACTTCCGATCGAAAACCTAAGGGAAACCTCAGGGAAGCTGCGAAACACATCAGGAACGCGGAGCCCCTCCCCAACGAGAAGGGTTCCTTTTTTTTTTTTCAGGGCCCCGACTGCATATGTTTATGCAGGCGATTCTTCCTCCGGGGAAGAGAAGGGCAACGCGGAATCCGTAATCATTCTGGCTTCAGCCATTGTGGCTCAAACGGCGCCGCCCAGGGCTCGGCATCGCTCGGACGTGTGCATTTTCCGTTCGGCGAGGACCATCGAGGAGCATCCTTGATCATTTCGCGAAAGAAACCACGCACGAAACCGAAAAAAACAAGGACATGGACGTCCGAGCGATGGCAAGAGGGGCTGTCCCCCATTTTCCGCTTATTAATATCGGAAGCTGGAACATATACATGACCAGTGGCGGGTTGCTTTCTCAATCCCACGATTTTTGAAGGGTCGGGGACGACGTCGGGGTGGTGTGGTGTATACGTTTCCCCCGCTTTCCAAAGGAAGCAACGAAACATGTAATACATGTATGCGGGATCCTGGTGTATAATACACCAGGAGCCGTAAACACCAGAATCCGCGTTCCTGTGCGAATTTCAGCGCAGGGTCGGGAAACACGTCGGTGTATAGAGTTCGTTCCCTTATAATGTTGCACCCCGTTTCTTTCGCGAAAGCGGTGGGCCGATGCCTCGCATTTCAGGTGTTGCAGTGGTGTGCGCCACAGCCACGTGGTGGCCCACGTGCGCACCGTCGAGGAAGCTTCCGCGTTCATGACGAAGCTGGCCAGCCAGGACACAAAAACAGGTGGATCACATTTCCATCGTCCAGGAAGTGCCCGCCCAGGGCCTTGGCAACATTGCGCAGCATATTCTCGTCGCGTCGGTGGAGGCGACAGCCATGCTCGGGGAGGACACGATTTGCCAAGGGCGTCAAACAACAGTTTCTCCAAGGACGCCGCCTTCCAACGCTCCTCGAACGAGACGCTCGCGTGCTGGATTGGGGCGTTTTCTCGACACCAGGGCTCAGCGCTTGAATTCCTCGACCGCCCCGCCGCCTGGCTTCGAGGATGTGCCACAACCTTTTCAGAAGAGCGCTTGCGTGGAGTTTGTTCGACTTGGCGGCTGACGACAAGTCGGACTACGTCTCGGACGGAGCGCCCCAGGGTGCGCCTTCTGCAATGAAGGCTCCACTGACAGCCTTCATGCCAGCACGGACGGCTCTCCCCAACCCCTCTCGACATGAAAAACGTGCAGTGTCACGCCCAGACCCACAGCTTTTTGAGGAGATTGAAGTCGATCTCGGGAAGCAGCCCGCGCTCCAGATCTCAGCATCAGAGCGGCAGCCCATTGATGCAGGAAGCGAGAAGTGGAGCCGCGATTAGAATAGAGATGGCGTGCTCGCTTACACGGGGCAGGCGGGGACGCTGCGACCTTCCGAGCTCGACCAGATGGCAGTTGTGTCAATGGGTGCGTTCCAGATGTTCAGTGTAGAGTTGATGCGGCTCCAGAGAGACGCACAAGATATCACATTCCACGCCTCGGGTCACGGCCGCGGGCGCCATCCAGGCGTCACCCGTGACATAGTTTTCATGTTTCAAGCTGTCCGTCGGCTAGAACGGTGCCAGCAGGACACCAGTGCCAAGTTCGTATGGGCAGGGCGAGGATCGATGGATTGTGCGACACCGGCTAGCTTATGAAGGAGGTGGACCAGGGTTCTGGCCAGGCCATGAAAGTTTGAGGTGCTGAAGGCGTGAGCGAGCATTGGCAATGGCCGTCTGATGGCAGCATCGGGCCTGAGCCGATTGCCAAGACGCACCAGGCCCGTCAGTTAACAAAACGTATACTGCACAATGTGTATTTTCGGTCTGAGAGTGCTGATGGGGCTGAAGAGGCCACCAGCTAGAGCAGATTGCGATCCACATCGTGGACACTTGAGTGACACGCGAGTGCAGTGTACTTCCACATGGTGTATGTATTGTCTGCTTCCGCTCTCCCAGATCAGTGCGCCTTCCCTTATATTTCGTTCGTCCTGCTCCCTCCCTCCTTCACCTCCTCGTGTTGTGGCGTTGTGCAAGATCACAGGGGATCTTGAGGGATGGGGGAAATGGGGATGAGATGGTCGCCCGAAGCCAGAGTGCCCCTTTTAAGTTTTCGACGGCGCCTGTTGATCCTTTCCCTTTTGTTTTCCTCTCGAC